TTTCAGATAAATATCCTCTGCAGTCATTTTGTTTGAATGTTTGCCAATCAAAAGGACAAAATAATCAGAAAAACAAAGATAACAGATGAAGAAATATCGCTCCAGGACTGTAGCTGTGCCCTAGTAGTTCATCACACTGGTGTTTCATTACTGTCATGGCTTCAAACTAACCCTTGCACGATAATTCCTTAAAATGAACACACACACACAATAAGGAACATAAAGTTTACACACCTTGCGTTTTACAAGGTGAAGGTGAAGTTTTAATAGGCACCCTGGAATATGAAAAAAAAACCTTATGGAAACAACAGCAGGTCAAAAACACAAGAAATCCTAATGACATCAAAGCTTGTGTTGAGGAAAACAAGGCAATACAACAGAGTCAGTGTTAATAGAACTAGATTTTATTTTACCAGTGACTTCTCCATGTTGATCATCCATATGTCAAGATGCTTTTTAGAAAGAAGCAGAAAAGCCCTTGGGTGTCCACGTCTCATAAAAGAAGTATAGCGGCACACTGCAGGGAATTGAAATATCGAAATGGAAATGCAGTTCAGCTGACAAGAAGCATAATTAAGAGATGCAAATTCACTCAAGTCTGCATAGTACATTTAATTAACTATTCTGTTCATCTCTGGCATGGTTATCTGGAATAATAGAATGAGGAATATGGATAAAATCATTTGGCATGCTAAAAAGAATATAAGTATATAAGTAACAAAAATATCAAACGTTGATATTAAATTCCCACAATCAGAAGTTCAGAAGTAATGTAAATGGAGTATGACTTTACAAAAAAAAAAAAATAATAATTGCATTTTATTTTATTAAATCTCCCATTTAAATTAAATAAATTGGAATTGTTGTGTTTCCCAAAAATTTTGTTAATTAGTACTCCAATATGATATAAAGGATATTTTGGGAAGGTTACAATAAGAATAGGGAATGTTTAAATAATTACATTTGAATTGTTTATGTGAAACTACTTTTTTTTTTGGTAACCCTAATCTGTGCAAAACTGTTCTTTATTCCATGCAATTTTGTAATGAAACTCAGTTTGTACAGTTGATTTTAATTGCCTTTTTGTTCTATGAAATTAATATCTTGTTTCTTTTCAGGCTTACTGGAATGAATTTGCCATCCCCTGTCATCAGTAGCAAGAATTGGCTGCGGCTGCACTTCACATCTGACAGCAACCATCGGAGGAAAGGATTTAGTGCCCAGTATCAAGGTAAGGGGTCAGTGTGTGTAGGACACTGGAGGAGAGGAGGGCTCATCATTGGCAGATGTGGGACAGTTGGCAGTGAAAGACAACACATCCCTTGGCGTGTCCTGCTGTAGCTAAAAATGAGATCTTGGCTTCTCTAAGTGTGCAGACACATTGCTGGAATGATGATTAGAGCATCGCACTGAACCCCTCCACCCCCCACCCCCTACCCCTTTTTAAATTGGGAAATCAGTCACAACAGTAGTGAGGGAATTCATGGTTCTAACGTGAATAACGCAAGATGAGGTGCTTTAAATCATTTTCATGATATGCGTTTATGATCATGTTTTCTATTTGCATAATAAGCGAGGGATGCCGTGAATCTCTGGGGATTTGTTCAATTTGTTACATTTTAGAGCACTGGCTATAAATGCACTTTCTTTTATATGACAAAAATATATGCACAGTTGAAGTATTGCAATTTGTGTAGACTACAAATGACGTGCATGCTTAGAATGGATTGAAAATGGCCAGTCTTGGTGCATGAATAGGCGAGAATGGGAACGGTTGTGACACCGTCAGTTTAACCACTTAGAAATAGCTAGAGCTGAACATGAGCACCTTTTTCTGAGGTGACAGTAAAAAGTCTCTCTCTCTCTCTCTCTCTTTTTTTACAAACATGAGGATTAAAAAAAAAAAATCACACCTGGGTTATAATTTAATTTGTGATCAGTTTAATCCATATTAAATGTGATCTGAATTTGCTTAAGTTTAATACAATGTTGACTTTTACATGTTAAAAGTGAATATACTTTAAAAACATTTATGGCTTTTAAGATTATTGTATTTGATTTGCATATAAAGTTTTACATCAAATTGGATCAATGTAAATCCTCAGAAGAATGTAAATCCTATGCTTAGCATGGCTTATTTTAGTATTACCTCAATTGTATTGTATCTGTTTGATTTTATGGAAATAATCATATTTTTCAAATGCATTTATTCAGAATGCGTAGAATATGCATAAATCTGTTCATTGTGAAAATAATTAAATGCATTCAGTTTAAAAGTATGAACATAGTTAAAATATGACTGGCTGTGGAACAAGCAACATTCGATTACTAAAAATGTATGTGATTGAAACAAGTTGGTTTTATCGATGACAATTATGTAAACCTGATTATTATGAACTGAAAACACATTCTGTTTATTAATACTGTAACATACATCTTACATGTTTCTTACTGGTTTCATTTATGTACTGTATGACTGATAAATATGATCACATTAAGTTAACATTTTACATTTAATTTGTTTGTGTTAACACTATGTAATCCAAATGGATGGAAATTTTATATGCAAATCAAATGCATAAATCTTAAATTTAGGCCTAAATATTTTTGGAACGTATAATGCCTGACCAGACTAGCAAGGTTGAAGCACTGTACCAGTTCTGGACATGCGCGTACACACAGTACTACTGTACTAATCACCGTGTGTGTTTATACAATTTAGAGATAATAGATTAAGTAATAGATTTATGAAATGTTTGGTATAAAATGTTAATATTTATCTCCTACCAATGACATTTTTTAGTTTAGTTACAGAAAATATCCTTTCTGATTCTGTGGTGGTTTGAGGGAATAGTAAAGGTTGCTTTCCTGAAATACAATTAAAAAGGATTATTTCTAACAACAAACAATTGTTATTTTGCCACATTGATTTCTCATTTATTGTGTCTATCATAGTTACTAAAATAAAAACACCTTGCAATTGTATTAAAGCCCACTGATGTGGCGGATGTCTTACAGAGACCAAAATTATGCAAGGTGAATTTATTTCATGATTCCTGCCTGGGTCATAATTGGCATCCTACATGACATAATTACAGGACGGAATTCAGAAATGCTTTAAAATCTAAATTGGCTCCAGATGATGCAAATATTGGTAGGGCGTCCAATAATAGCATGCCGGAATGATAGTTGTGTGTCGGATAACAAAGTGTGCCCATCATTGAAGATCTTCCCATCAGGACTAATTTTGATGGCCCATGCAAGACTGATTCATAGAGGATTGCTCGTATTCAATGAGGTGTTGGCACTCTTGGGTACTCGACAGGTTTTGCTAACTGTATAAATGGATTGTGATTTCCACTTCCACACACTTCACCTCTACCCTCTCCCAACAGTGAAGAAGGCCATCGAGCTGAAATCCAGAGGGGTGAAAATGCTCCCGAGCAAGGATACAAGTCACAAAAATGCAGTCTGTAAGTACACTTCTAACAGACCCCCACTTAAACCTAAGCAATCATAAAACAAGAGAAGACAGCAGTTCATCTAAGTAGAAAAGACCTAATATGCTGCTTTCACTGCAGGCCATGAGGTCTAGGCAAGATAGGTACAATGCCTAAAGTTCTCACTGCTTTTTAGTATGTTAGTGATTTAGCTTGGTTAATTATTCATATTTCCCCATGAGCTGATTCGCTACAAGCTCATGTGAGAACAATACGTACCTGAAGCAATGTAATAAAAATGTGGCCACGGTCACGTATTGAAACTTTGCCGCGTATCGGTGTTGAAGAACTGTTGCCACAAGCACATATTTTCAATGAACTTGGGCTGAATTTTATATCATGAGTCTTGTATCATAGTCTTTGTCACAATACAGTTTATTTATTTATTTTTATTATATAATTTTTAGTCAATTAATATAACTTGATACTTGTACACAAACCAGCAGATTGTTCTAACTCTAAATTCTGATTAGATGAGCCAAAATCCAGCCTGTTATAAAATATGCAGTATAATCCACACAACTGTGACGGCACGTTTGCTAAATTCTGTTGTGCCACTTAGCATCACGCCATTTACTAATAAGTTCGTCCTCATCTTGACTGGTTTGAGAAGTGTAATGCTCTTGCTCTATTACTCATTGTATAGCAAAATCCTAAACTGTGTCATTGTCAATTTTCTTACATAACTGTGGTAATTTAATATTGGTTTGATAAAACTGTATGGCAGGCACCACACTTTTCAAAATCCAAAAGATCTGTTTTATACTTTTGGCTAACGGAATGCTAATATGTGGAAAACGCACAACTGTGCCTCTGATAAAAAAATATAATCTATAGATTGTTAATGTGTAAACTATCTTGAGCTGTTCCATTCTCTTCACACAACTGCATTCTCCTCAGTCATATCGTGGCCTTGCTTGTTTTCATTATGAGTTTAATAAAGATGCCCTTCATGATATTCTTAATAGGATGGAGGAAGCCACGCAATGTTATGCTGTATGCATGATTTCGCCCATTCTGCGCTTCGTTGAACAAGTTCCGTGGCAATTAACATTACAAAAGCTGCTGACTGACTCCGTGAAGTACACCACTTCAGTTGAGCTTCAGTCAAATTTGCACAGTGTGTGCATGATGACAATAGCTTGTTTATGGACACTCAGTCAGTCATTACATGCAACATGAGAGAGGTTGCCTAGGGTTTTCATGACAAACAGCCCAGTTCACTCATAGTAGATAAAGAGATTGTCATTTTACTGAAACAAACCACACAATTTCACATCACAAACATGCAATGTAACTTTTATAGTGTACAGTAAGTGCATTTGTGCACATTTGTGCATTTGTCTTACTCTTACGTTTTGGTGATTGGTGTGATAAGTGCTTATTGTTTCAACATTGCATACTGGCAGACTTAAAAAACAAAACAAAAAAAAAAACCTTTGTGCCCTCCCGGAAAATCCATAGCATTAGCCAATCCCATTGAAACTGATGATTTCAGCATTTTCCATTGATTTCAAGTTATAAATAATAAAAATATACTGTAATACTGTGCAGATTTTTAGTTAACGAACTACGTATCCTATAAAGCTTTGCAAATAGTTTGTATATACTGCCATTCAAAAGTTTGGGATCAGTAAGATTTGTAATGTTTTTTTTTTAAGAAGTCTCTTCTGCTCATCAAGGCTGCATTTATTGTATCAAATACAAGGGATGCAATCTTATTGCATGTTTTTCTTAAAGAGGAGTTTGGCTATTTATTTCCAAATTTTTCCGAAAGTTTATGAAAAAATTTGGAAATTTTCTAGAAGTTTACCAGGAATTTTCCACCCCTTTTCAGTCCTAACCCTACAATGTAACAAGTGAGTTTTTAAAGTTGTAAATAAAACAAAGATTATTGTAGTATGTTTTACAAGAAGTTATTGTAACACTTTAGATTAGGGAACACCACATTCACATTTCTCTCAATAAACTAATGCTAATTTGCTACTTATTGATAATAAGGTTGTTGTTGTAGTGTAGTTATGTTTAGGCATGGGGTAGCATTAAGTGATCTAGAATATGGCCATGTATTAATATGAGCTTTATAACTAAATACTAATAAACAGTCAATTGTGCTAGTAATATGCATGCTAATAAGCAACTAGTTAATAGTGAATAGTATTCCCTAATAAAAAGTGTTACTGAAAATACTGAAATTTAACTTCAAAATTGACTGTTTTAATTACCTGCTGTTTCTTTGTAATTGTTTGTGAAATTTACTTGTAATTTCTTAGCGAAGATTGTTTCTACAGTATACCACTTTTTTCAGTGTAAATCATTCCTTAACCTCTTTTGATAGGTCTGTCTTAAAAGGTATTATTGCTAAAAATGAGTACTTTTTTTTTCTGTGAAGAAAATGAATGTGATTTTTAGTCTTTGGTAGCTAAATCTGGCAGAAGTTAGTGAAACTGCTTACAGCTCCTTTAAGGGCAGCTCTTAGATCTTTGATTGGAATGGAAGTACACTTGACATTTATGTATTAAACGTTTACATGTGCGTTATAAGAAAGTCTTTGACACATATTGAGGTGATTGCAGGGCACTATAGGAGGAAAATAAATGACCAAGAAAAACAGACACCCGCTTTGATCAGACAGAATAACTTTAGAGACTGATATCAACAATCAGGGGAGATGACATTTGAAGACCACATCAAAAAGAAGGACATGACAGGTGATCAAAAAGCCTACTCACACAAGTGAAAACCTTGGGCTTCTCTCTCTCTTTCTCTCTCTCTCTCTCTCTCTCTCTCTCACACACACACACACACACAAACACACCACTTGCAAATGCACTGACCTTGCCTCATAATCTGAGTGTTTTTGTGCCGGTCAGGACAGATGACTTTATATAAAGTGGTTTATGTAGGTTCTACATTTTAATTAATCTTGTGTCACCTATATGAAGTTTATGTCAGGTCTACTCGTTATCTATGTGTGTTGGCTCAAGCTCCCATTGTGGATTATCTCCTCATGTTAATTGTGTTAATTTGATTCCACCTGTGTCTTCCCAATTATCTCGTGTATTTAGCCCCTGTCTGTGCAGTCTGTGTTTGTCGGTTCTGAACGTCGTTGTGCTACATGTTACTCCTGGCTACCCTGTGTTTCCGCCTGTGGATCATTAAAGACTGTTCTGTGTGTAATCCCTCGTTTCCTCGTTACTCGCTCCTAACAGCAGGCAAGTGTGACAGTTAGACTCATATATACATACTTTTCCACCGACATGAATGTGACCAAATGTAAATTTTGTTTTTAAGTCCTATTAGGCAGCAAGTTTATCTAAAAAAATATGTAGCCCAATGTGCCGTTGAAGGAGGAAATTAATTAATTAATTAAATCAGTCATCAATCAGTCAGTCACTGATGGTGCACAAACATGTGTGTAGAAATAATAATTTGATATATATATACACAACTTGCTACGTGTACTATGTTAGGCTAACCGAGACTTGTCATTTGCACTTACAGTGGTGTGAAAAAGTGTTGGCCCCCTTCCTGATTTCTTATTTTTTTGCATGTTTGTCACACTTTAATGTTTCAGATCATCAAACAAATTTAAATATTAGTCAAAGATAACACAAGTAAACACAACATGCAGTTTTTAAATGAAGGTTTTTATTATTAAGGGAAAACAAAATCCAAAACTACATGGCCCTGTGTGAAGAAGTGTTTGCCCCCTGTTAAAACTGTGGTTTATCACACCTGAGTTCAATTTCTCTAGCCACACCCAGGCTTGATTACTGCCACACCTGTTCGCAATCAAGAAATCTCTTAAATGGGACCTGCCTGACAAAGTGAAGTAGACCAAAAGATCCTCAAAAGCTAGACATCATGCCGAGATCCAAAGAAATTCAGAAACAAATGAGAAAGAAAGTAATTGAGATCTATCAGTCTGGAAAAGGTTATAAAGCCATTTCTAAAGCTTTGGGACTCCAGCGAACCACAGTGAGAGCCATTATTCACAAATGGCAAAAACATGGAACAGTGGAGAACCTTCCCAGGAGTGGCCGGCCGACCAAAATTACCCCAAGAGCACAGCGACGACTCATCCAAGAGGTCACAAAAGACCCCACAATAACATCCAAAGAACTGCAGGCCTCACTTGCCTCAGTTAAGGTCAGTGTTCATGACTCCACCATAAGAAAGAGACTGGGCAAAAATGGTCTGCATGGCAGAGTTCCAAGATGAAAACCGCTGCTGAGCAAAAAGAAATAGCATAAAGAAAAAGCATAAAGGCTCGTCTCAGTTTTGCCAGAAAACATCTTGTTGATCCCCAAGACTTTTGGGAAAATACTCCGCGGACTGACGAGGCAAAAGTTGAACTTTTTGGAAGGTGTGTGTCCCATTACGTCTGGCGTAAAAGTAACACTGCATTTCAGAAAAAGAACATCATACCAACAGTAAAATATGGTGGTGGTAGTGTGATGTCTGGGGCTGTTTTGCTGCTTCAGGACCATGAATTCTGCTGTTTACCAAAACATCCTGAAGGAGAATGTCCGGCCATCTGTTCGTGACCTCAAGCTGAAGTGAACTTGGGTTCTGCAGCAGGACAATGATCCAAAACACACCAGCAAGTCCCCCTCTGAATGGCTGAAGAAAAACAAAATGAAGACTTTGGAGTGGCCTAGTCAAAGTCCTGACCTGAATCCTATTGAGATGCTGCGGCATGACCTTAAAAAGGCGGTTCATGCTCGAAAACCCTCCAATGTGGCTGAATTACAACAATTCTGCATAGATGAGTGGACCAAAATTCCTCCACAGCGCTGTAACAGACTCATTGTAAGTTATCGCAAATGCTTGATTGCAGTTGTTGCTGCTAAGGGTGGCCCAACCAGTTATTAGGTTTAGGGGGCAAACACTTTTTCACACAGGGCCATGTAGTTTTGGATTTTGTTTTCCCTTAATAATAAAAACCTTCATTTAAAAACTGCATGCTGTGTTCACTTGTTATCTTTTACTAACATTTAAATTTGTTTGATGATCTGAAACATTAAAGTGTGACAAGCATGCAAAAAAATAAGAAATCAGGAAGGGGGCCTACACTTTTTCACACCACTGTATATATTGTTGCTCTTTTGTTAGTTTTGACTACTTTTATTGTCCTCATTTGTAAGTCGCTTTGGATAAAAGCGTCTGCTAAATGACTAAATAAATAAAATAAACATAAAATAATTTTGATTAAAACTATTCTGTTGCCAATTAATAGCTATTAATATGATGATTTGGTGTGCCATCCTTTTAACATCAATAATATTTAATGTATTGATGTTGTATCAGAAATTGAAGGAAATATTTTTATTTAGCAAAGTCTATTTTACTGAATGCATTTGTTCTGGTTAACGTCATGCAGCTGTGCTAGACCAACTTCCATAACCAATTAAACCAATATTCCAGTTTAGAAATACAAGTAAAGCAGCTGGCACATAATAATACAAAAGATAATAATAACAAATATAATATATCATCATAAAAATAGATTAAAGGGGTCATATGATGCGATTAAAATTTTTCCTTTCTCTTTGGAGTGTTACAAGCTCTTGGTGCATAAAGAAGATCTGTAAAGTTGCAAAGACTAAAGTCTCAAATCCAAAGATATATTCTTTATAAAAGTTAAGAGTCAACCAATTTGCCACTGATGATTCAAATGCGAGTTTTGAGCAGTGTAGAGTAGCACTTGTTGTTTGTCATTTCTCCGATCACAAATGCAGACATGGTTTTATGTTTACGCGGCACGATGCAATGCAACGCGTAAAAAGACAGTATAAGTCATTATAATCCGTAATTATGTCCCCACTGGATGCAACAAATGCCTCGTTTATAATGTTTTTTTTTTTATGTTTTTGTCTCATCGCTCCGGCCGGGACAAGGCATCACAGTATGGTAAGGAGCGTAACATTTCCGTCACACGCTTGAGGTATTCGGCCAATCACAACGCACTGGATAGCTGGCCAATCAGAGCACACCTCACTTTTCAGACCAATGAGCTTTGTAAAAATTGACGCGTTTCAGAAAGGCGGGGCATAGAGGAGAAACAATAATGTACAGTATGTGGAAAATAATGTGTTCTTTTTTTTTTTACCTTAAACCGCATAAACATATTTCATTACACCAAATACACCAAATAATCTTCTTTTTAGCAACATCATATGGCCCCTTTAAATAGAGTCAAACATATGGCCCCTTTAAAACATGGGAAATGATGTGGATGTAAAGATGGTCAATGCTGCACCTGCTGTGAAGTCATCCATGAACTTACCTAATGTGATTTTGGCCAGTAATTGAACTCAGAGGGATGTCAGAAAGTGAGGCTGTGTGAACCCAAACTCACTGTGGCTTAGGAGGAACAAGAGAGTGGGGAGGGGAGAAACATGGGACATGCTTTGACCTTTCTTTGCTTTTTATTGGAAATAGCCTTGAGCTTACCATCACTAAATCCCCTGTCAGCTCTACAGGAATAGATATTCCACCTGTGAGTGCAATCTTTACTGGCATTCTGATGAACACTGTACACTCTGGCTGTACTGAATGGGAACATTCCATTGCTTTTCTCTTTAATAGGTTCTTTGGTAGGGTTTGTTCTTAGAAAGGAACATTCTATTATTGATCCTTTTTTGTCATTCACTGTATAAAAGTTCAGAAGTTTGAGATCAGTAAGATTTTAAATGCATTTTAGAATGTTATTACATTGCATATTAGAATATATCACAATATTACTTTTTTCTGTATTTTTCTGTATTTTTTCTGCCTTGATGAGCATAAGAGACTTCTTAAAAATATATATATATATATATAATATATAATTACATAATTTTATGATAAATTAGCACACTGCATCCAGGCGTTTTTTTAGTTTTCATTGTTTTTATTGTTTATCAGCTTAATTTCAAGGCTTTACACAATAATGATAATTAAATTATTGTGCTTAATGTGTTTAATTGTCGCAATAATGATAACCTTGAAACAAAGTTTTATTTGCTTTAAATATAATATAATTTCCTATTTGTTTCATTTGAGCTTTGTGAAATTTGACCAAGACAATATGTCTCATTTTGTTTCCTCATCCTTTTTGTGTGTTTTGTCTTCTCTTGCATGCTCTCACATTCATGCAGTAAGCCAAGGTGGAATGGCTGCAGACATTTGTCCAGATCCGGGGATTCCTGAGAACGGGAAAAGAATTGGCTCCAGCTTCCAGTAGGTCCTCTTTTTCTTCTCTTATCTGTTGCGCTTGTCCTTTTTAACTGCATGACACAGCTTTAATCAGGCCTGGGCCTGCTGTTTGACACGTACGTCTGAACTCCCATACCGATAGGCCATTACCACCAGGACCTTTGGTCACTGCTACTAAGTGGGTTTCTAATGCCCCTACAGAAAGAACCAAGGGCCATTACATGTTCTGCATTTAATGGAATATGATGTGGGGGGATCTGAAAATAGAAGAGACAAGCGGTTTATAGACGTTTGACAGAAACTGCTTTCATTTAATAAAAGAAGGATGTGTAAGAGACATATAGAGGGTCTGGGGTTGATGGTGTGACTCATGTAGCTGGTCGATCACTGACGGTCATTTCAACTTCGGCAGGGTTGGAGCCAGCATCCAGTTTTCCTGCGACGACAGCTACGTACTGCAGGGATCAAAGAGCATCACTTGCCAGAGAGTGACTGAGACCCTGGCGGCCTGGAGTGACCACAGGCCTATCTGTCGGAGTAAGTGCAAATATGGCTCAGACACTTTCTGTAGGGATGTTGTCAGATCCTGTTAAGTGACATGTGTACCACATGGCAGTAGGGAGTAAGGCCACACAATTCGTAGGAATGGTTGTGCCACACGGATTTAACAAAGACAACACTGGCACACGTGAATATATCAAAGAACATGTCTGGATTTCAATTATCCATTTAGAGTTTTCTTGACGACTGTAGCACTGTTCCAAAATTTAGTGTGCTGTCTATAGGCAAAAAGGCGGTTTCAAAAGGTAGACAGCATTATAAGAAATAGAATCTCTTACATTGTTAGTCAGCAGATAAGATAATCCCATAATGCACTGTGACAATCTTAGAAGAAGAAAAAAACACTTACAACCACATCAACAACCAGACATTAGAGTATTAATAGACTTTACTAATAGACTAATAGATTTGACCCAGTGTTGGTGTATGTTTTGTTTATTATTTTTATTGTTAGCTTAGCAACATACTAACATCACACTAGGTGTGTCACAATTCGTGTATAGTATGTTCCCACTGAAAATTCCAGGTTCTATTCCAAACTAAATACTTATCAGACTCTGATGTTAGATGACAAACTAACCTTATAAAATTCATACACTAGACATCTTAGTACATATTGCATATTATACACGTGTATAGTATCATTTTTAGGGACACAGCTACTCTGATGAAAACAATGTGGGAGTCGAATCCCACAAATTGAAAATCAGTCACCTATGAGGCTCTATTTCAGAAAGCATCAGTTAGAAGGTAGTAGAGAGCAAGACAGTGTATTAGGTTTTGGAACAGAGGTATCATGTAAAAATCACTGCAACACTAGTTAGCATCCAGAAGCAGATTTTGGGTATGAACTGAAACGTTGGTCTAAAAATAAAATTGCTATCTGCAGGATATCTGCAGTAAAAAAAAACAAACACAAACAAAACCAAATTAAACCCTGTGGCTCGTGACGATACATTGATGTGTAAAGACACGAAACGATCGGTCTGTTAGATAGAGTGTCAATGGTCCATTTGAGAGATAGGTGGCGGTAATGCACTTATAAGTCTGCGATCCGCCGTAAAGCAAGAAGAAGACGACGCATCAAGCATCGGCTGAAGAAGAAGACGCGAACGCACTCAGGACAGTTCAGACATTGCGGTGATTTAGAGGTAAAAAAAACGATATAAATACTGTTCAGTTTCTTGCACAGACCGATCGTTTCGTGTCTTTACACATCAATGTATCGTCACGAGCCGCAGGGTTTAATTTGGTTTGGTTTGTGTATGTTTTTTTGACTCTCAAAGCCGTGATTCCCATTCACTTCCATTATATGACTGACAGACTGCAACGGTTTGAGTTAAAAATCTTCGTTTGCATTCTACTGAAGAAACAAAGTCACCTACATCTTGGATGCCATGGGGGTAAGCAGATAAACGTAAAATTATCATTTTTGGGTGAACTATCCCTTTAAGATGAGACCTGAATGGGTCTACTTTGAAAGGCATAGAGGACACAGGCCTCCAAATGACATTAATCAAAATGAAATAAGGCAGTGTGTCGGACGGGCAGACAGAGGAGTAACCATGTTTGACAATTTCTTTGCACAATTCTCACCAATCACTGATTGATCCAGACACTTTTTGTTTCAGCAGTGCCAAGTAACCTTTTTAAACACAAGCCTTAAATGCCTTCCTTACCTTCTTCCTGTGATATGTTAGGGGAGTGATGGTATAAAACGGGAAGTTAAAGACCTTTTAGCCTTGTGATTTAGTCATTCCTTTGCTTTGCTTCTCTCTCTCTCTCTCTCTCTCTCTCTCTCTCTCTCTCTCTCTCTCTCTCTTTCTCTTTAGTTGTGGTCTTAAAGAAAATCTCATGAGATGTTTTGAGTTAATTATGGAGTACCTCTGAATAAGAGAGAAGCTCAATCTGACTGCTGATTTCTGCATTTACTGCTACTTTGATAATTAAGTTGCACTTATAACATCAGTTTGCAAGTATACAGCCCATGAAAGTGGTCATTGTACATGTCAGACACATCACAGCTATTCATGTTCTTAAAACTAGTCGTAACCAGAGTCGTTATTTTATAGGTTACTGTTCAAAGGTGAGCATGACTTCATCATATGTTGATATACAGTACACCCTGCAAACTAAAGAGAAAATCCTTGAAGGAAATTGCTATATTTATGACAGTGTTTGCAAAGCAGCACAGTATTGCTATTCCTCAAACATCCAGGTTAGGGTTCCAAACCCTTGACTATTAAACCTCTGCAGTTGCTTCTGCCTGAACCATTTAAGCCTGAATACAGAGACTCCATTCACATTCTGTTTAGGAGATAATTTCATGCTTAGGAGGATTTTTTCCCCCCACTTAAAGATTTCCAAAATTGCTACTTAATTAAAATGATGTATATTATTAGAACAGCTAGGAATTTTTAGGCTTCTCACAATTCAATCAGACAATTCTGGATGTGTCTTTTATTGTTGTTTTCTGTGGTTGTACCCAAGAATGATCAACATTTGAGTGTGTAATACATTGTGTCTTGCAATTGCTGTTATAACATATTATTCAACTTATTCAGCCTTTTGTTCTAAGTTGCGAAGCTTATCTTGCATTTGTTTGTTTGTCATTTATTTATCACGTTTAGTGTGCATTCGATTTTGTGCATTATTCATTAATGATATGCAGATGCCACTGCAGATGGTGTTATTTGTTGACGCAAATAAAAGCATCTACTTTATATAGATAAGAGCGAGACTGATGGTGGATCGATAGTGGATCAATCCAGACCAGTTCAAGAAATAGTCATGGTTTATCTGTGATAAGTTGATTGTATAATACTAATTTGGTGGTTGATGTTTCTGATGAGATAATTGTCTGTAGATGTTTTTTTTCTTCCCCCAAAACATTTTGAATTCATTTTCACATAGTTTCTGCAGTGAAGTAGCTCTGTTTGAGAATATATGCTACATAATCTCTTCACATCTCTACCTATCCAAATCTCCCTTTGTACCCTTTGAAGAAGCCAATGAAGCCACAGCAACGGAGCGGGGCTGCTCTTTTAAGCTGTCAAAAAAAATCCCTGACTAAACACAAGGGAGAAGCAGTTAATACCCTGGCACAGTATAGGGTTGGAAAAAAAATACCCTGACTTTGTCAATGATTGAGTCAAGTTATTCTGAGGCATGACCTTAAATAGATTAGCTCATGTCGTGAGGTCTGGATGTGTTCAAAGGAAGTGTTTTTAGTGTGGGGCGGGATGGAAATATCTATTTGAAAACCTAGTGAGCTGTGTACGTATAAAGCATTTTTAGGCACTGTCGACTCAGAGACTATTCCACAAGGTAGGCAGCATTCTAAAATACTTAGTTTTGGCCAAATTTTAAGACAGCCTTGCATATATACATGTACAGAGAAGGCAGTCCCATAATGCATTGTGACAAGCTCAGTGAAAAAGGTTAAGAAAGATAAATATCAGTTATAAATGTTGATTTATAAAATATTCAATACAAAATTGCATTGCTAAAAATAGAGATGCTAATGTCAAACAATTGTAAGTTGAGAATGTAAAGTTAAATGGGTATTTGCAGTACTAAAATAATTACATTCATAACCAGTATTTCTCTTTGCTCATCCACGATCTTGGATTCATTTGTTTGTTTGTTTTCACTGAACTCATCGCGCAGTGCATTGCATTGATTGCATTTTACATATGACTACGTTTTGGAAAAGCCTTTGAGTTGCCTTAAATGCCTTAAGTAATGACAAGCTGGTTATGTTGCATTAAATTCTTATATTGATGGTTATATATCTACGAAACCTATTATCATATAATTTATAGTACGTTGCGTTCCTTTCAATAGCAACAGCAATAACTACAAACCATTGCAATTGTTAAATCTACGTTAACTTTCTTTGTACTCAACAGCTAGGACCTGTGGCTCTAATCTGCGGGGCCCTAAAGGCATCATAACGTCTCCAAATTATCCCGTCCAGTATGAGAATAATGCACACTGTGTGTGGGTCATAACAGCAATGGATCCAGAGAAGGTACGTTTGTAATTTAAATCGAAATTGCAACCTAAGGCTGACTCCAAGTTATACGAGAGAACAATTCCACAAAACACGCTCACGGTCCATTTTTAATCTACCAAACCAAAACACGATATGCTTTTGAATAGCCACCATGACACATAATTGAATGGGACCTTGCATAAATGTCAAAAATAATCTCAAAGATAATTTGTGAGGACATTTGCATTGCAGTCCACAGTGTTTGCATAATTGTCAACCTCTTGCCCCGACTGTCTCTCGCTATTACTGCGTCTCCAGAATTGATTAGGTTCAGCCACACGTCTTCAGCTCTGTGGCCAGAGTGATGGTAATACAATCCGGCATGACCTCAACACACGCCGTGAGAGTGACTCATGCTTTTGTTACTAAATCAAGACCAAATTAAAATAGTCAAAACAACATATTAGAGTAAACAAGAGCTATCCTGCTCCCCATGCTTTGCAGATATTAATGTTGGGAATATTTGTGTATGTGTGGCCTTATTGAATTTACGTTCAGATCTTGAAATTACTGTAAAATGATGTAACACTATAACACAATTGACATTTCTGATATTTACCTTTGTGCCTTTTCATTAGTACATCTACTACTAATAAAATGTAAGATTTTTGAATGTTTAAAAAAAAAGAAAAAAAATCTTATGCCCAACAAGGCTGAATTTATTTGATCAAAAATACAGTAAAAAAACAGTAATGTTGTAAAATAGTATCACAGTTTAAAATAACTATTTTCTATTTTAAGTTGAAATGTTGAAAACATTTGTTCTGCTTCATTTTTTTTGTTTGATACATTTTTCAATTGATTTTGCATATTTTTGAAACATTGATAATTTTTTTCAGGATTCTTTGATGAGTATAAAGTTCAGTTTGTTTGTTTGTTTACAATAATGTAAAAGTATCTAGTCTTTGATGTAATACATCTCCGATTTAAACTTCTTGATTAAAAAACAAAACAAAACAAAAAACAGTAGAGTTCTGTGAATAAGTAAAAATGGTTTTAGTGAATAGATTCAAACCTCTAATTCATTTGGATGCTTTTGCATTGCCACTCAGAAACCAAGGGCTCTGTGTGGGATTTTCCAAGCATTTAAATATTTAGTAGAACTATATATGTAGATACAAAATTATATAGGTTTATGTTTGAATATGTTTAATTTATATTCATATAAATTATTCCTTTTGTTGTTTTATTGTGGTAAACATTCCTTGATTATTTTTAGAATCTACATTGTTTGGTTAAAATGTTGGTTTCTCTGATAAAGGGTATAAAATCGTTGTTTTGATATATTTCAGAGTAAAAACGTGAATATTGTGATAGACATCATCCACAAGCTGAAAGACAGTGTGATGTAGGTGAGCTCTAATTGTTTTGGAGTGCTAATTCCAGCCCTAATTGTGACACAAGGTTTTAAACACATGCTGTCTCTTAGTTTGGTGTAATTTACTTGCTAAACTGAATTTTAGAACATGGTATCTTGCTGTACTGTGTATCCATGAATTTCTGCGGCATACCTTGGTTTCCCCAAAACAGCTGAATTTGTTAAACATTCAGATCCTACAGCACTGTAGGAAAAAAGCAAAACAATAAAACATTTGATTTATAAAATCCGTCCCGCTGGAAATGGATGTGTATAATTAGTCATACAGATGATAGACTAGTGTAAAATCTTAGTGACATGCCAGTAAATTGAAAGTACCTGCTGGCCACCATCATAAACATACTTGACTATCCTACGCATAAAATCCGTTCCATGTCACAACCAGTATATTTATACTCCTGACCACATGTTTTTGCTTTGATCTTATGATGAAAAGATGTAACTTTAATTTATGTTACATTGTGCATTTTTTTCTGCTTTCGCTGAACAGAAAGGCTCTGTTCCAAAACCTAGTGAGCTGATATAGACTGCACTTATGGCTTGTTTCCACCGAGAAGTAAGGTTCAGTACAGTACGGTACGATTCAGGACGGTGTTCTGATAATTTGTGCCACCCTGTCAGATTTTGCTACCTCCGATTGAAACAGTAGGTAGCACAATGCGACAACAAAAAATGCTACCCAACAGATTATGCTTTATTAATACCTACACCTACACCTACCCCAACCCTAAACCTACCCTTACAGTAATGAAAATACAGTTATTATGTGTTGTTCAGCGTGAGAACATGGACGCAATATAATGGGCGAGGAGAGGGACGTTGTTTGCTCTCTTTGGAGATTTATTCTCCCGATAAGTTTTATTGTTTTATTGCATGGTGTCTGTTTTGTGTGAGTTCCTGAGTATTGGTTTCATGAAGAGTTAATTTCATACGGAAATAAATTCAATCCTTTCATGCACATGCGCAGTAAGGACAATCTGACCGGTAGGATGAACACTTTGTTCCAGCTTGCGTTTCCACCACCAACAGTACCCTTACTTGATAGACGTCGTGCATGCCGGAAAGTAGCGTCCCACGTCATTCTCGCACGAAGAAGAAAATGCGACATTGTCTGTGTGTGTGTGTGAAAATATAAAATTATAAAATACACTGTTATATTTTTTTGTGTGTTTGCGCACTCTAAACAAGCCCAACACGCATGAGCAGCATGCCGGAACGAGTGAAGGAGACGCTTCATCCCCCTTGTGTTGTCATTCCCCTTATAGCACACGCAAGTGATGATTCTCTGTCAACCAATCAACGTTCTGCAGTGAGTCTAGCTCCACCCTTTAGGTGTGCTGCTGTGCTAGGTACCCCAATGGAAGGGTCCCAAAAAAGTGGTATGGTACGGTTCACTATTTTGATACCATTCACAACTTCTGACAATGGAAACGTAAATAATTGCATACCGTAATGTACTTTAGTGAACCGTACCGCTCAGTGGAAACGAGCCATTAAAGGCATCATAGACAGATTCTAGACATGAAGCTTGTTCCAAATGATACTTTCTTTTGATCAAATTCTAAGGCAGTATCACTGATATCCTTCATGGCATCTGACTTCATCACATAACAGGTGGATTGCCCTAATAACCACACATGCAGTCTTCACCAGTTGTCTACTTGCATGACATATTTCCTGTTTCTGTGAGTTCCTGAATCCTGGGAAATGTTTCCCTGAATCTTGGGAAATGCTTAGCCTCAAAGACTTTTTTGGAATTTTAGGTTAAATGCTATGTACAATTGTCTTTGAATATAGAAACAAGTAATAACAGTGAATGTTAAACACTACAGCTGTGTTTATATTTATATAATCTAGACTATATACTATATTCTCCATGTTGTTATTGTCACGTTGACCTGCTGTGTCAGTTGCGTCACCTCACTGCCATTCATGAATCCTCTCCCGTGGAGACCTCTCCTCATGGAATAGTAAAGTGTCCATTGGATGCTCATTTCAGAATCTCGCAGGAAGTAGTAAGTCATCCAGGTACTTTTGCCTACTGTTTTGTGAATGCTGTAAATTTTGACATCCCACTTATGTGATGGAGTCACATGGCAACTGACACCTTATCATGTGATTTACTACGTGAATGATATTACTCTCACCTGTGGAAAAATTGTGTTACTTTTCCTTAGGAAGGTTTATGCCAAAACGTAAAGGAATGAAGGATCTGATCATTTTGTATGTATAGCCTTCTGATAATAAAGGGATTTTAATAAATTATAGTGCCTTTGTTAGCTTTTTGTTTTTGGACCATAGAGCACCTTCTTGTTATATTCCACCTAGGAAGCACTCTTCACCATTAAAGGCAGGGTAAGCGATATCTGGTAGCCAATGTTGATATTTGAAATCACCAAAACAAACACGCCCCTACCCCAAAAGGGTCTTGCCCCTATTTTGATAGCTCCGCCCCACATATACGTACGCAACCCAGGCAACGATTAGTTCTGTGAAACAAAGCAAAACCAATGTTACACCGTGTCTACATCGGACGTGAGCGGCTCGGCGCAACAAATCCCCGACAGAAAACTGCTGCCGGGTATGACGTGCTGACACAAATTTCAAATGGTTTTCAAGGGTCATTTGATCGCGTCCAGTGTAGGCAGACTTTAGCTGTTGTAGACACAGTGTTACTCACCTATTGAGAAGAAACAAAGCAACCTTGGCGTCCAATCGCAGGCCTCCGCTCCTTGAGTTCTCTCCAGCGCTGGAAAGCTGATTCGATATTTACATGGGTCCTACTTCTTGCCTTATTGTTTCCGCAGACGTTTTCCTCTTTTGTTTTTTATCCGCCATCTCTATCTTTCTGTCGCTCGGCTCGGCTAATGTCCGTCCCATGCACTGAAAGCTCTCTCCTCCACATCACGAGTAGACACGCCCCTTATTGCTGATTGGCTACAAGTTTGTTTTGCTATTCGGCCTGAATCAGTTTTCTAAAGTGTTTTTGAAAAATTACATACCCTACCTTTAAACAATCTTTAAAAGTTTTTTTTTTCTCATTTATTTATTTATTTTGAAACTCTGTTCAGAACAGAATGTTAAGACCTCAAAAGATCATAAAAATGCAGTCTTGATCTCCGTCTCTGTCATAACATATGGTCCGAGACAAGAAGGTCATGTTCCAAAACATGTTCTGACTGCTGATACAGTCAGACTCAAGACCATTTTAGTAATAGACATCAGCCTGCTTACAGACCAGTAGCATTTTGTCTTATTGATCTGGCCTGGATAATGTTTATTGTCTTTCCAAAAAAGGGGCCATTTACCGACAAGAGGTCTCACCGCATATATTTATATTTTTACTAGAAAATATAACTTTTCATACAAAGTTGACATAACATATGAAAATCAGTCAGATTCAGCTCATAAAATGTTTTGTTCCTGTCCTTGCTTTAGATAAAATATTTAGTGATACAATATTCAGTGCTGCCTTTTCAGACAAGCCATCAACAACTAAACAACCACTGCTGCACAAATTCAAAATGATCAAAACAAACAAAAGGATTCAAATATTCAGAAATGTCAGTGGAAGGTCAGCTTTGAGTCAGCATTGTAT